TGGCGCTGCGCAGTAACCCAACCCCACGAAAGTGGTGTGTGAGTGAGCGAACGCGCCTTGTCAACTTCCCAACCCAACTCAGCAGGGAAGTCAATGCCGGGCTCGCCAATTCTCCCAGCACACCAGAAATGGCGAGACTCACAGAGAATCACCCACAACTACCAAGACCACCCAAGAAGCACGCCCACGACTCCCTAAGCTAGCACCACCCCAGCAGTGACTTCATTAGCGCCGTCATTGTCATTCGACGTCATAGGGTCGGTGCAGGGCCGCGTATAGTCTTGGTCGTTCATCGACCTGCCAAGTCAATGCACATCGTCGAGGGCCCTTGCTGTCGTAGGGCCCTCTAACAAGCAACGGGTGCAACCTGACGAGCGGCGAAAGACGAGCGGACGAGCAATGAAAGTGGCGATTGGCGACTAGCAAATGTCGAACGGCGAGCAGCGAATGGCGAACGGCTAGCGACGAACAGTGAGCGGATGGCAACGTGCGGCGATCGTGTAGCGGCAAGTGGCGAATTTCGAATTACGCGCAACCATGCGGAAGACGGCGACACACTGCGTGCGACCTTCTGCGTGCGACGTTGTGCGGATTCTGGCGACATACTGCATGCGACGATGAGCGGAAGATGGCAACGAACCGCGTGCGACGTTCCCTGCGCGACGGTGTGTGGACAATTACGACTTCATGCGGTTGACCGTGTGTGGAAGACGGCTGCCAACCGCGTACAGTGTGCGGAAGATGGCGACTTAATGCGTGCGACGTTCCGCATGCGGCGCCGTGCGGATGCGGGCGACGCGCTCGACGATGTGCGACAAACGGCATGCGACGTACCGCGGGCGATGTTCCCCGTGCGACGGTGTGCGAATGATGGCGACTTACCGCACGCGGCGCGTGCGACGATCGGCGTGCGACGTTGTGAGCCGATCGGCATGCAACGATGTGCGACGAACGGCATGCGACATACTGCGCGCGTCCGTGTGCGGAAGATGGCGACTTACCGCGTGCGACGTTTCGCGTGCCAGCACTGTTCGGATGCATGCGACGATGTGCGACGAACGGCATGCGACGTACCGCGCGCGTCCGTGTCTGTGTGCAGAAGATGACGCAAGATGGCGGCATGCAACGTACCGCGCGCGGTCCGTGCGCGGAAGATGGCGACTAAGCGTGCGAGGCCGTGCGGATGATGGCGACGTACCGCGTGCTACGTGTGCGGAAGTCGGCGATTAACGCGGCGTGCGACCTTCCGCGTGCGACGTTGTGCGGATGCTGGGGACATACTGCATGCGACTGTGCGCGGATGCTGGCGACGTCCCATGCGACGGTGTGCGGAAGATGACGACTTACCGCGTGTGACAGTGTGGAGCTGGCGCGGTGAACAGCGGTGAAGGCGTGCGGCTGGCGCGGTGAACAGCGGTGAAGGCGTGCGGCTGGCGCGGTGAACAGCGGTGAAGGCGTGCGGCTGGTGCGGTGAACAGCGGTGAAGGCGTGCAGCTGGTGCGGTGAACAGCAGTGAAGGCGTACGGCTGGCGCGGTGAACAGCGGTGAAGGCGTGCCGCTGGCGCAGTGAACAGCGGTGAAGGCGTGCCGCTGGCGCGGTGAACAGCAGTGAAGGCGGTTCTGTGAAGGCCTGAAGTCGACAACAGATATAACTGAGTTCCCTAACCCTTGCTTCTTCACTCTCTCTCTTCATGTATCTCGCTGTCTTTTGCTTTTGTCTTGATATTGGCGACACCCACAGCCACCACCCTTTATGGATGTGAGTATTCTTTAGGTCTTTACTCTCTCTCTTTAGCTCTCTTGCTGTTTCTTTCTTTGTTTCGTCAACACTCTTGGTAGAGGCGACACCCACCACCGTCTTTGGATGTGAGTGCATCGGCCGGTTTGCAAGGTATTACAGCAGGTCCCCCCAGTTAAGGCTGGTATAACAGAAGGTCCCCCCGGTTAATCTTTCAAACGCTGCAATGTTTTCGTCTTTCTCTCTATCTTGTTTGGCACTGCTGCTGTCTCATCCTTGTCCATCCTTCTTGCCACTGTTGCTGTTTGACATTCCAACGCATTCTTTGTGCAACATCATGATCATGGCGCGTATCCTTTGTCTTGGTGCCTTGTGCACCCATCCCTCCAGCTTCTTATCGTCCTCTGCTCTATGCCTCCCTTCGCTGTTTGGCAGGGCGATCTTCAAGGCCGCACACTTGCAAGGGGAGAGGACGGGTTGCGGGCGGCGCGCACGCAAGGGGAGGGCAAGCGTGGTGGGATGACGCACGGCCGGCAGCTCACAGGCGTGTGGCTGCCCCCCACGCGCCGGGCCCTGCTAACCACCCGCGTGCTGCTGAGGGCGAGGAGGCGGTGCTGCTGGTGGAGGGAGGCGGTGCTGCTGGCTGATCCTGGCGCTGCTGGAGTGCTGCTGGCTGATCCTGGCGCTGCTGAGGTGGACGGGCGCGGTGGGATGACGCACGGCCGGCAGCCACTGGCGTGGGGCTGCCTCTACCCGCCCTGCTGACCACCCGCTCGTGGAGCAGCAAGGCAACACTGCCATCTCATGGCCAGCGAAGCAACTGGGAAGTGTCTTTCCCCTCGCCTTCCCTTCTCGTCACCCTCCATTCGTTTCGTTTTGTCATTCCGTGTTTTCCGCACCTCGTTCTTCACTCCATCGTCCTGCATTTCGCGTTTGTGCACGTCCCTCTGATACGGTCGGCTGCAGCCTAGTAGATGTCCTCCGTGGGTTTTGGGTAGCATAGATTTTGGGTTGGGTAGCATAGAGTTTGGGTTTTGGGTAGCATAGCTCCTCCCTCTGCTAGCTGCAGCCGACGTATCATGGACGTGCATCCATGCCACCACCTTGTTTCCGTGTGTTGTTTTCTGCTCTCAATTTCGCTCTTGGTTTACTCACTTTCATTTCCGCATTTCGTTTCTTTGTGTTTGTTTTGCTTTATTTTTCATTCCGCAGTTCTGTTTACTGACTTCGTGCATCTGTCTGTGCGTTCCCTCCCCCTGTTTTTCAGCAACCATGGGTTCTTCACTCGGGAGGAGCAGAGGCGCCTGCAGAGGACGGCAGCAGCGACTCGGGAGGACGGCAGCAGTGAGAGGGAGAAGCGAGCGGTGGGATGACGCACGGCCGCCGCCCTGCTGACCACCCGCTCTGCTCGAGGCGGGCACTTCGGGCAAGGAGGCGCGGAGGCAAGGAGGCGGCACTTCAGCAGAGGTGGAGTGCGGTGTGGAATGGTATGGTGTGGTATGAGGAGGAGGCGGACACTTCGGGCAACGAGCCGGCGCGGAGGCAAGGAGGCGGCACTTCAGCAGAGGTGTAGTGCGGTGTGGAATGGTATGGTGCAGCATGAGGAGGAGGCGGACACTTGGGACAAGGCGGCGGCACTTCAGCAGAGATGTGTAGTGCGGTGTGGCACTTGAGGTGAGGAGGCAAGCAGAGGCGGCACTTCACTCAACATGGATTCTTCACTCAACATGGCTTCTTCACTCAACATGGATTCTTCACTCAACATGGCTTCTTCACTCAAGATTGGAGGCGCCTGCAGAGGAGCAGGTGTAGTGCTGTGTGGTCTGGTATAGTGTGGTTTTGTGTTGTGTGGTGGAGCGGGGAGGACAGGCGAGCGTGGTGGGATGACGCACGGCCGGCAGCCACTGGCGTGTGGCTGCCTCCTACTCGCCCTGCTGACCACCCGCTCAAGGCAAGGAGGACACTCGGGGCAAGGAGGTAAGCATGCGACTCTTGGGGCTCGAGGCAAGGAGGACACTTGGGGAAAGGAGGAGCAGGCAACCAGGCTGCACTTCAGGTGAGGGGACGAGGTGGCAAGGAAGCGGCACTTCAGGCGAGGAGGCGGCACGTCCGGCAAGGGGTGAGGCGGAGGAACGTGAGGGAGTTCTTGATGGGTTGGACGAGGGGATGCATGACTGGGATGCTGTGGGAATGAAAAACGGAGAGTAGCGGTGGGAAACGAGTTGAGGCAGAGAGGGTGGGGCCCCCTCTCGTAAGTCCTCCTCACGGGTGGCCCCGCCCATCGCTGCTCCTCGTCCTCATTCTTCAGCACCGCCCTCCAAGCACCTCCTCTTCCCGCCTCTGACGCCCAACCTGACCTGCACTCCGTCCTCAACCCCTTCCCACCGTCGACACTGTAAGTCTCTGGTTTTGGTGTGGAGAGGTGTGGTGTGGTGTGGTGTGGTGTGGCAGCAAGGAGGGGGGAGCGGGCACTTCGGGCAAGGAGGCGCGGAGGCAAGGTGGCGGCACTTCAGCAGAGGTGTAGTGCGGTGTGGATATGGTATGGTGTGGTGCGAGGAGGAGGCGGCGATGAGACGGCACTTCTGGCGAGGAGGGCAGTCAACATCATCACCGACACTGTAAGTCTCTGCTTTGGCAGGTCGGCAGGGAAGCGGCAGCATGGAGGGCAGTCAACACCGTCACCGACACTGTAAGTCTCTGCTTTGGCAGGTCGGCAGGGAAGCGGCAGCATGGAGGGCAGTCGACACCGTCACCGACACTTTCTCCCCCAGTGAGCTTCCTTACCCTTGCCACCTCACTGTCTCTCACCGACGCTCTTGACAGAGGTGGTACCGACACCTTCTCTGGATTGGATGTGAGTGCATCAGCAACAGGTTTGCCGACTTGTCTCTCATGTTTCTGTCGACGATTGTTGTGATCGCAACTTCTACGACCGCCTCCTCTGAATGTGAGTGCAACTCCTACGACCTCTGGATGTGAGTGCAAGGCGAAGTGAGGCGAGGCTAGGAGAGGCGAGGCGAGGCGAGGCGAGGCGAGACGCAATCCGTGGGTGGATTGAAACTTGTGGGTGCAATTCGTGGGTGGACGCTCTCTCAGGCGGGCCCAAAGCGCGGCGGATGGAACAAGAGGAGAGAGAGAGGTGGGATGACGCACGGCCGGCAGCCACTGGCATGTGACTGCCTCCTACCCGCCCTGCTGACCACCCGCTTGCTGGCGGCACGCGAGGCGATGCGGATGGAGTGAAGAAAGACCGTTGTTCCCCATGCGTGGTGTTCCCCATGCGTGGTGTTCCCCATGCGTGGTGTTCCCCATGCGTGGTGTTCCCCATGCGTGGTGTTCCCCATGCGTGGTGTTCCCCATGCGTGGTGTTCCCCATGCGTGGTGTTCCCCATGCGTGGCGTTCCCCATGCGCGGTGTTCCCCATGCGCGGTGTTCCCCATGCGCGGTGTTCCCCATGCGCGGTGTTCCCCATGCGCGGTGTTCCCCATGCGCGGTGTTCCCCATGCGCGGTGTTCCCCATGCGCGGTGTTCCCCATGCGCGGTGTTCCCCATGCGCGGTGTTCCCCATGCGCGGTGTTCCCCATGCGCGGTGTTCCCCATGCGCGGTGTTCCCCATGCGCGGTGTTCCCCATGCGCGGTGTTCCCCATGCGCGGTGTTCCCCATGCGCGGTGTTCCCCATGCGCGGTGTTCCCCATGCGCGGTGTTCCCCATGCGCGGTGTTCCCCATGCGCGGTGTTCCCCATGCGCGGTGTTCCCCATGCGCGGTGTTCCCCATGCGCGGTGTTCCCCATGCGCGGTGTTCCCCATGCGCGGTGTTCCCCATGCGCGGTGTTCCCCATGCGCGGTGTTCCCCATGCGCGGTGTTCCCCATGCGCGGTGTTCCCCATGCGCGGTGTTCCCCATGCGCGGTGTTCCCCATGCGCGGTGTTCCCCATGCGCGGTGTTCCCCATGCGCGGTGTTCCCCATGCGCGGTGTTCCCCATGCGCGGTGTTCCCCATGCGTGGTGTTTCCCATGCGTGGTGTTCCCCATGCGTGGTGTTCCCCATGCGTGGTGTTCCCCATGCGTGGTGTTCCCCATGCGCGGTGTTCCCCATGCGCGGTGTTCCCCATGCGCGGTGTTCCCCATGCGCGGTGTTCCCCATGCGCGGTGTTCCCCATGCGCGGTGTTCCCCATGCGCGGTGTTCCCCATGCGCGGTGTTCCCCATGCGCGGTGTTCCCCATGCGCGGTGTTCCCCATGCGCGGTGTTCCCCATGCGTGGTGTTCCCCATGCGTGGTGTTCCCCATGCGTGGTGTTCCCCATGCGTGGTGTTCCCCATGCGTGGTGTTCCCCATGCGTGGTGTTCCCCATGCGTGGTGTTCCCCATGCGTGGTGTTCCCCATGCGTGGTGTTCCCTTGCGTGTTCTCCCACCGGCACCCTTGAGGTGAGGTGGAGGTGCGAGACGAAGTGGCGGATAAGCTGATAGAGGGGGTACTTGGAGGGAGATGTGTCTGAGTGGTGTTCGTTAAACGATTGGGGGTGGGGCCTCCCTCTCGTTTGGTTCTCTCTCTCCCTCTTGCCAGGCTGAGCCACGGTAAGTTCTGTTTGGATGCTCTCCTTTGATTGGTTGCTCTCCTCTGAGCCGCGGTAAACGTGTGTCTGGGTAGTGTACTTTCGATTGCGGGTTGCCCCCCCCCCTCTCGTGAGTACCCAGTCTCACCCTTGCCAAGCGGAGCTGTGGGAAGAGCATGCTGAGTGGTGTACTTTCGATTGTGGGTTGGCCCCCCCTCTCGTTAGTACCCACTCTCCCTCTTGCCCAGCTGAGCGCGGTGAGTCTGGGGGGTGGTGATCCTCTGAGTGTGGTGCCATCAGCAACGCCTGCCATGAGAAGGGAGTATGGGTCCGAGGAGAACAACTTCTTGTTTCTTGTTTTCTTGTTTCTTTCCTTGTTGCGTGTTTCGTTTTCGTTTTGCATTCTCTTTTCCCTTGCACCCTCACCACCAACTTATCTTTGTTTCCTCAGATCCCCCCTTGTCGCATGTTTCACTTTCTGCTTTGTTTTTTGCATTCTCTTGTCACTCACATCTTCGCCAGCCACTTATCTTTCTTTCCTTAGATCACCCTCTTGCATTCCTGTATGACAGGGCGCATCATGGCGGAGTGGAGAGCTGGTGGGGGCGGCTGCAGAGTGGGAGGCGCGGCTGCAGCAGCTACACGGGAGGGCGGGGGGAGGCGGGTTTGAGTGCAGAGGAGGAGGGAGCAGCAGCACCAGCAGCCTTCTTTCAGAAGGGAGTATGGGGCTCAGGGAGGGGAACCTTTTCTGCTGTGTTTTCGCATGCGTTTCATTTCCTTGTCGCATGTTTCAATTTCGTTTTTGTGTTTGGCATTTTGTTTTCGCTCGCATCTTCACCAGCAATTAATCTCTCTTTCCGTAGATCCCCCTCTTGCATTCCTGTATGGCAGGGCGGATGGAGGCGGGTTGGAGTGCGGAGGAGGGAGCAGCAGCTGTCACCAGCAGCGCCTGCTTTCACACAGGAGTATGGGGCTGAGGGAGGGGTGAGGGGTGAGGGGTGAGGGGTGAGGGGTGGGGGGTGAGGTCCTTGTGTGCTGTTCTTGAGGCGCCTCAAGACAGACTGTGAACTGCCGGTGGCGGTTCTGTTCTGTTCACTGCAGTGCACTGCAGCTTGTCGTTCTGTTTCCGTTCCGTCAGTCCGTTGGTCCCTGAGTTTTGGGAGACGTCTCAAAACTCGTGTGCTCCTCACTGCAGAGTCGCTGCAGTGAGCAAACTCTGGGTTTTGGGAGACGCCTCAAAACCCATTTCGCTTGTTCCTCACAGCAGCCTAGCTGCAGTGAGCGAAATTACACCAGCTGGTCAGGCAGCAAGACTGGGGAGCAAGGACGGGCAGCACCTGCTTTGAGGATGATTTTCATCTGCCCCCGGGCAGTATGCATTCTGTTTTTTCTCTCTCCTCCCCCCCCTCCCTCCAACAGGGTCCCAAGCGATGGTTCCCACCTCACCGCGGTGCTTGGGTGTAACGTCAGGAGCTCTGCTCCTGGCGGCCAAGAGGAACCCCCCATGCACACCTACAGTGCATGGGTAGTACAATGATGTATAGTTCTCATTTAGATCAGTAGATATTTGATTTGATAGAGTTCAGCAAATGGTTCTGCTAGTGAACATGAACTGTGGTTGGATAAATGATACTGATATATCTCCACTGGATCATTATTACCACTAGGGAGCATCTATATGTGATTCTGAATTTTTATTGATCAAATTGATGGTGATACGGTAGTGGTGGCAGTAGAAGACTTTGTAGACATTACCATATGCCAAGATGGTAATGGAAGTATTGATTTTTTGAGATTACAGTGCTGCTGAAGTTATATTACTGACATACTGTACGTGCACAATGCAGTAAATCCTTCAAGCGTGTAGAAACTGCTAATCATTTGCTGAACCTTGTGCATTCAGAGCGGGTAGTACCGTACATTGGCCACACACCCTCAATTTACCCCCACTTTCAGGATGACGCGGACGACACTGCTGCTCATGCAACTACGAGTGTATGTACTTGGCAACAAAGCGTGTCAACTGCCACTACAAGAATTCCTAACTTGCAATTTCATTGCAGAAATATTACAATTCGCCATAGCAAAAAGGACTAGGTTAACACAGCATCACTGCTCCACGCTCCACCGCATCACTAGATGTCACTACAGCACATTGGTTGTTACCAGGAACCCTGGCTTTTCCTCGTTGGTTGCCTCCACATCCCCAGGCAATGCCACCACCACCACCACCCGAAGCAACTTTCACCACATCCCCATCGCCACATGTGCACCATGGAGCATCACATCAAGAGCAGCTACAGACAGGCTACAGCACGCTGATGGTGGAGAGGAACCCTGGCTTCTCCTTGTTGGCCGCCTCCACATCCCCAGGCGACGCCACCACCACCACTCTGCCCTTCTCCTTCACCGCCTGCAGGTAGTCTGCAAACTCGTTCAGCTCCTTGTTGCTAGGGGGGGGGCAGAGGGGGAACAAGAGAAACAGGTATAATGAGTGTTATGAGGGTGAGTGATTTAGAGGCAGTGTCACCACCACCACCGTGCCTTCTCCTTCACTGCTTGTAGGTAGTCGGCAAACTCGTTCAGCTCCTTGTTGCTGGCAGGGGCAGGGGGGGGGGGAGAGGAGTGAGAGGTGGATGATCGAAGAGGGAAACATAATACACGCGGTGGAATGATAGGTCAGCAAAAGAAGCGTAATGACTGGAATGAAGGGAAATGAATCACCATAGAAGGGAAGTGAGGGTAGGGTTCAGAGGAGTGGGTGGGGTGAGGGGGTGGGTTGGATGTGGTGGATCGGCTTACGTGGTGGTGAGAATCTCCTCGCGTCGCTTCTGCCTGTCCTCCTCACTCACTTCCAGCACATACCTCACCATGCTGCCACACACAACACAAACCACAGGGGCGAGAGAGGAGAAATTTAAGTCTAGCTCAAGACACGTGAGAATCTCCTATCACTTCTTCTGCCTGTCCTTCTCACTCACTTCCAGCAGGTACCTTACCATGCTGTCATGCACAGAACACGAATCAAAATTGCAAGTAGCTAGTGTCATGCCACAACTAGCTCATGACACAAAGCAAGCAGCATTACAGATCATCACATGGCAATAAGGGTGCGTGTCCTTAAGGTTGAACTTTGGCCAAAAGTTGAACTTTTAGAAAGGTTGTACGCGGTAGGATACAGTTGAGAGACGTGTCGTCATGTTACAAAGCGGTACTAGGCTCGAACTTTGACAATCTACACCAAAAGACACGCGCCCTAAATATCACAATCTGACCAGCCCCTGAAACAGCACCTGAAGCAGCACCTGAAGCAGCACCTGGAGTGGCTCCTGCGGTCTCACCTGGAATAGCCCTTGGAGTCTGGCAGCTGGTAGGAGTCCACGTCCCCAATGGTCCCGATGATGGCCTTGGTGCGTGCATCCTCATCTAGCTGAAGCTGCCTCAAGAACTCCACAGCTCCGTCGTAGTTGTCAAGTGTGGAGAGCAGGTTGGGGTCGCGGTACGACAGGAAGGTGAAGACGCCTGGTGGGGAGGAGGGAGAGAGATAAGGAGGTGATGAATTACTGATAGTCAGATCTTATGGTTTCACGAAAAGCCTTGGTGCGCGCATCCTCATCTAGCTGAAGCTGCCTCAGGAACTCCACGGCACCATCATAGTTGTCAAGAGTGGAGAGCAGAGCAGGTTGGGGTCACGGTATGACAGGAAGGGGAAGACACCTGGTGGGGGAGTGAGAGAGGGAGGGAATGTACCTCAAAACTGGTAACTCACCGGAGTGCGAGTCAAAGTCACAGAAGCCACCGTAAGCACCACCGCTAACACGGACGGTTGCAGTCCTACAGAGAGCTCATGCCACTCTTGAGTCGACTAAAACCCACCAGAATGCGAGTCGAAATCGCAGAAGCCACCATATGCACCACCGCTGACACGAACGCGGTCCCACAGCCAGCTCATGCCCACCAGCTTGGATGCCACATAGGCGCTGCCACTCAGATTGTACCCCGCTGCATCGTACAGGTTGACTGCCTTGCCCACATAGTTCACCTGAGGAGGCAGAGAGGGGTGGGGAGGGGTGAAAAGGGGTGGAGAGGGGTGGAGAGGGGCGGAGATGGAGAAATTGCAGCACGTAGGCACTGCGACTCAGATTGTAGCCCACATGTTGCCCACGTAGTTCACCTGAGTTGGAGGAGGAGAGGGGACAGGAGGATATGTGATTCACTGCCTTGTTGACATGATTCATCTAAAGGTATGGAGGGAGAGGGGCTTGTAGCGAGGGTGTGAGTGAGTGAGGGCTTGAAGTTAACAGGGTAAACTGATAGACCGTCAACACCCACACCCACCTGCACATCCACACACCCACACACACACAAACACCCACCCCCCCTTTCCCACACACACACACACCCCACTTCCCCAAACACACACACACACACACACACACACACACACATCCACTCCCCCCCCTTTCCCACACACACACACACACCTGTGTGGGGACCAGGAATGCTTCGTTCTTCACAGGCAGAGTTGACCAAGCAGAGCCTGCCACCTGTGCGCGCTGAGCTGGCAGGGAAGCCAGCAGCTCCCTCACTGCCACGTCAGCCTTGTCCAGCGTGGCAGCGTCAGCTGTGAGGTTGACCACTGCCCCGTCAGCAGTGAGCACTGCCTGGCGAATCTGCTCCAATGAAGCGGCGACACCTGGCCAATCCTCATCCACTCGCTTCTCCAGCGCTCGCAAGTACTGCAAATAGCTGTGTAGCAGAGAGAAGGAAAATAGACAGAGCGAGCGTGTGTGTGTAAGTTTCAAGTAAGGCAGGGTGAGGAAGAACATTAGTGAAGAGACTGAGTGTGAGAAAGGGAGAATAAACGGGTAACAGAGATTTTTGAGTCGACTCAAAAGTCACCTCGGAAGG